TTCCTTCCTTCCTTCCTTCCTTCCTTCCTTCCTTCCTTCCTTCCTTCCTTCCTTCCTTCCTATTTTTGCTGGTCCTGGGACTTGAACTCAGGGACTGGACACTGTCCCTTTTTTTTTTTGTTGGTTGTGGGTCTTGAACGCTGGACCTGGGCCCTGTCCCTGTGCTTTTCAGCTCAAGGTGAGTGCTGTACCACTTGAACCACAGTGCTACTTCCGGTTTTCTGGTGGTTAGTTGGAGATAGGAGTCTCACAGATGTTCCTTCCCAGGCTGGCTTTTAACCTCAATCCTCAAATCTCAGCCTCCTGAGTAGCTAGGATTACAGGCATGAGCCACCAGTGCCCAGCAATAATTTTTTTTAACTTGTCATTGAACAGTAATCTGAAGTGTTCCAATTGCATTGGAAGCAGATGACTGGAAACCATCTGACTTATAAAAAGGGATTTAGACCTCATCCTTCCATTCCTACTGTTGAGGGTTCTTTTTGTTTTTGTTTTTGTTTTCCAGTCATGGGGCTTGAACTCAGGGCCTGGGCTGTCCCTGAGCATCTTTTTGCTCAAGGCTAGCACTCTACCTATTGAACCATAGCACTACTTCCAGGTTTTTCTGTTTATGTGGTGCTGAGGAATCAAACCCAGGGCTTCATGCATGCTAGGCAAGCACTCTACCACTAAGATACATTCCCAGCGCCTGCTGTTGAGTTTTGCTGGGGTTTGAACTCGGGGCCTTGTTCAACTAGAGCTCTATCATTTGATATATGCCTCCAGCCCAACTTTTTGCTTGTTATTTTGGAAACAGTCTTACAGACTTTTCTTCTCAGGCTAGCTAAGAACCACAATCCAGTGCCAGGCTTCTGCTATTGTTTTAGGATAGGGGAGAAGTTAGTTGAGAGGAGTGATTGGGAAAGGTAACTGGGCCTTACTCATTAGGAATCCTGAGTCTTCATTCTGCACATGAGGGTCGGAGTTTACAGGAAGCCAAGGCTCTGAAACACTGCATGCATACCTTTGAAAACAGTATACATGGAGGTCACTGAAGGAGACCGAGCAAGGATTCCTAAGGTGTGGTTTTCTCTAGAAGACTCCATTTGAGACCTTTTTACATTTATGTCCCATACTGGAATGGCTCATATTTTTAGTGGTTATTGGCACTGAAAAGATACCAAGATTTAATTAAAATATGGGCAGGTGAGCCAGACACTAGTGTCTCATGCCTGTAATCCTAGCAACTCAGGAAGCTGAGATATGCAGATCACCATCCAAGGAGGAAAATCTGTGACTCTTATCTCTGGCTAACCAACAAAAAAACACCAGAAGCAAAGCCGTGACTCAAGTGATAAAGTGTTAGACTTGAGCGAAAAAGTAAGGGGCAGCACCAAGGTTCTGAGTTTTAGGCCCAGTATACCTTGAAGACTTCCATTATTTCTTTGAGGATACCCTACAGTAGCTTCTTGTGGAGACCTTCATTAGCTTGGGGATACCTACAAGATACCTTGAAACCTGAGTTTCTGCTCATCCATTCTGGAGAACGTGGGGACTGGGAACTTTGGGCTTTCTCTGACTTAGCACGGATCCTGGAGAAGCGAGAGCCTAACCCTTCTTGTGCTCCTTAGGATGGAGTCCACAGAGAAGTGTGAAGCCATCATCACCCACTTTAATGGAAAATATATTAAGACACCCCCTGGAGTGCCAGGTGAGGCGGGGAACCACGCTAAGAGCCGCAGGTGGCTCCTCCCAGTGGAGATTAGTGGTGACACTCAGCCGTCTATCTGTTCTCTGTCTTGCCAGCACCATCTGATCCCTTGCTTTGCAAATTTGCTGATGGTGGACCAAAGAAACGACAGAACCAAGGAAAATTTGTGCAAAATGGACGGGCCTGGCCAAGGAATGGAGACATGGTAAGAGACCTTCCTGTGAGGAATCAGGATACCAGGAGTAGAATGACCCTGGCAAGCTGGAGAGCTGTAGACATCCCTGAGCGGTGCTGGCCACATCATGCTTTGGTGTGTGCTAGGAACGTGGTTCTACAGCCTGCATCGTCAATGGAATTCAGGAGCAGCTGGAATGGGACGTGTTGGGACTTTGATTGGATGAACTGCATACACTAGAACCTGGGCATTCTGGGATTGAACTGTTCTTTTCTTTATAGGGAGGTATGGCCTTGACCTATGACCCAACCACAGCGCTTCAGAATGGGTAAAACTATTTCTCTCTCTTTTTGGTAGTAGGGTGGCTTGAATTCAGGCCTTTGTGTTTTCTAGGCAGGTGCTATAACACTTGAGTTTCCCTCTTTCTATATTGCTTATTTCATTTTAATGTTTTTGTATGCCAGTACTAGAATTTGAACTCAGGGCCTCAAAAATCTTGCTTAGCTTTTTTCTGCTCAAGGTTTGTGTTCTACCACTTGAGCCACCCCTTCACATGTAGCTTTTTATTGGCCAATTGGAGATAAAGGTCTCTTGGATTTGTCTGCCCGGGCTGGCTTTGAACCTCAGTCCTCAGATCTCAGCCTTCCTAGTAGGTAGGGTTACAAGCATGAGCCATTGGCACCTGGTTTATATTAGTGAATTTTGGGGTATGGGGGGTGTCCAGTGGGGCTTAAACTCAAGGCCTGGGCACTGTCTCTAACTCTTTTTGCTTAAGGCTTGAGCCCTACTACTTAGAGCCACAGCACCACTTCTGGTTTTCTGGTGGTTAATTAGAGATAAGAGTCTCATGGGTTTTCCTGCCCCAGCTGGCTTTGAACTCCAATCCTCAGATCTTAGCCTGCCTCCCCAAGTAACTAAGATCACATGTGTGAGCCACCAGTGCCCAGTTTATATTAGTGGGTTTGTTTTTTTTTTTGGTCGGTCATGGGGCTTGAATTCTGGGCCTGGGCGCTGTCCCTCAGCTCTTCAGCTCAAGGGGAGCACTCTACCACTTGAGCTATAGCACCACTTCCCGCTTTCTAGTGGTTTATTGGAGATAGGAGTTTCACAGTCTTTCCTGCCTGGGCTGGCTTTGAACCTCGATCCTCAGATTTCAGCCTCATGAGTAGCTAGGATTACAGGCATGAGCCACTGGCCCCCAGCCTTTATATTAGTGATTTTTGAGGCAAGATCTTCATGCCTGGACTGGGCTGCATTGTGATCCTCTTACTTGGCTTCCCCATGTTGCTTGGGTAATAGGTATGCAGCACAGCACCCAGCCATTGTGCTCCCTCCCTGCGCTCTAGCAGGGAGACAAACACATACCACTGTGTTCAAGCATTAGTTGAGATTGAGTCTTGTAAACTTTTTTTTTTTTTGGGGGGGGGGTCTGGTCGTGGGGCCTGAACTCTGGGCCTGGGCGCTGTCCCTCAGCTCTTCAGCTCAAGGCTAGCACTCTACCACTTGAGCCACAGCGCCACTTCCTGCTTTTTTCTTATGTGGTGCTGAGGAATCGAACCCAGGGCCTCGAGCATGCAAAGCAAGTGCTCTACCACTGAGCCACCTTCCCAGCCCCTAGTCTTGTAAACTTTTATGCCCAAATTGGTCTCTTACCACAATCCCCTCCCAAGTAGCTAGGATTATAGGTTTGAGCCACTGCACATAGCGGGCACTGGTGTTTTATATGATCAAGACATCTGAAAATGGCAATGGTATTGATTTTTATTTTCAAATAGAGTTAGTGGGAAGAGATCAGGCCTTAATCAATCAAGGCCCTTTCCTTGTGCGTTCCTGTGGCTCCTCACTGAATCAGCTTCTTTTCTGCAGATTTTACCCAGCACCGTATAACATCACTCCCAGCAGGATGCTGGCTCAGCCTGCGCTCTCTCCTTATCTGCCGTCTCCCGTGTCTTCCTATCAGGTATGCTCATGCCCCACAGAGAGCTGGTTTTCCCTATCACATGTTTTAGATAAAGGATTATAAGGCTAGAAACTACTTGTTTGGTTTTTCTTCTGTATATATTAAACTCAATGTTATATAAAAGCAGGAAATATGATTGTATATATATATATATTTATTATTAATTTTTTTTACCTGTACTGGGGCTTGAACTCAGGCAGGGCCTTATGCTCTGGTTTGGCTTTTTCACTGAAGACTAGCAGAACCACAGCTCCACTTCTGGCCTTTTGCTGGTTAATTGGCAATAAAAGTCTCAAGGATTTTCTGTCTGTGATCCTCATAGCTCAGCCTGCTGAGTAACTAGAATTATAGGTGTGAGCCACTGGTGCCCGGCTGTACCTGGTGTATATGTTTTTCTTGCTCTCCACGCAAGTAAACCTATGTTCATTTTCTTTTGGTTTGCATTTTTCCATGTTATAGTTCAAATGGATATCTACATATGCACAAGGTTTGGAGAATCATTTTACAAAAATCAGAGCATGCTAAGTTTATACTGTAGCCTCTTTATTTAGTATATCTTTGACTAGTGACAGTTGTGAGAGGTCTCAGCAATAGCTGGGGTTTATAGAAATATACATGGGGGGGCCCTACCCAGAGAGCCTAGTAAAAAATAGTGTGCGTGTGTGTGTGTGTGTGTGTGTGTGTACAGGTTCTGGGGCTTGACCTCAGGGCTGAGCACTGTTCCCGAGCTTGTTTTGCTCAAGGTTAGTGCTCTACCACTCAAGCCACAGTTCTACTATAGAGGGTTTTGCTCTAATGATTTATTTGTTTATTTTTTGTCAGTTGTGGGCTTGAACTCAGGGCCTGGGTACTGACCCTGGGTTTCTTTTGCTCAAGGCTAGCACTCTACCACTTGAGCCACAGCACCACCGAGTTTTCTGGTGGTTAATTAGAGATAAGTCTCATGGACTTTACTGGTTGGATTGGCTTTGAATCATGATCCTCAGATCTCAGTCTCCTGAATAACTAGGATTACATGCATGAGCCTCCAACACCTGGCTTCAGAAACATTTTTTTTGTCCATTGTGAGGCTTGAACTCTGGGCCTGGGCGCTGTCCTTCAACTCTTCAGCTCAAGGCCAGCGCTCTACTACTTGAGCCACAGCTCCACTTCCAGGTTTTTTGGTGGTTTATTGGAGATAAGAGTCTCACTGGACTTTCCTGCCCAGGCTAGCTTTGGACTGCAATCCTCAGATCTCAGCCTCTTGAGTAGCTAGGATTACAGGTGTGAGCCACCGGTGCCCAGCTTTCCAGAAACATTTCTATACCTCTTTCTCATAGAAATCTGTGCTTTTACTTCTGGAAGCTAGAGTCCCAGGAGTGGGATTGCTAGGTTGAATAGTATGTAGATTTTTAGTTTTATGAAAGTTGACAGATTCTTCCACAAGATCTGTGTCAATTCACTTCCTCCCACAATGTGGGAGGAGTTCCCTCTCAGCCACAGGTGTCTTTGCTTTCTTCTTTTTGTGCTGATACTAAGGCTTAAACACATCCTCATGTTCCTACTTGACTGTTTCAACTCAAGGCTAGCTCTCAACCATGTGAGCCATACCTCCATGTCCAGCTTTTGCTGGTTAATTGGAAATAAGCATCTTGCTGGTACCCAGCTGGAACAGCTGCATTCTGATGGGGTATTTCAACTTTTGGAGACTTTGCTGCTCAGGGAGCTGAACAGTGGTTTCTAAGAAGAATGACTTTTTTTTTGTTTGTTTTTATTTCCATCAGAGAATGACACAGACATCGCCTCTACAAGTACCTAACCCATCCTGGATGCACCACCAGTCATACCTCATGCAGCCTTCAGTGAGTTCCCCCATGGGCCAAAGCCAGAGAGACAATTTGATATGAAAAAAGACAAATGGCCGGGTGCTGGTGGCTCATGCCTATAATCCTAGCTACTCCAGAGGCTGAGATGCTAGCCTGGGCAGGAAAGTCTGTGAGATGTTTTTTTTTTCCAGTCCTGGAGCTTGAACTCAGGGTCTGACACTGTCCCTGAGCTTCTTTTGCTCAAAGCTAGCACTCTACCACTTGAGACACAATTCCACGTCTGGCTTTTTCTGTGGTACTAAGGAATCAAACCCAGGGCTCCATGCATGCTAAGTGAGCACTCTACCACTGAGCCACATTCCCAGCCAATGTGAGACTCTTATCTCCAATTAATCACCGAAAACCAGGGATAGTGCCAAGGCCTGGAGTTCAAACCCCACAACCAACAACAACAACAAAGAAAAAGGGCTTGGATGACAGGAAATGTGGGTGTGAGTTCTGACACAGTGTCTGGTGCAACTCAACTAGAAGCCCTTAAATTCAGTGAGTTCATCCTTGGACAAAGTTCTCCCCCATCTAATGAGCAGAGTACTTGTTCCTGTTTCAGAGATGGCTTGCTTCTCACTGGAGTTTTTAATTTCCAAGATTTAAAAATATGTCTTTGGGGCTGAGAAGGTGACTCAGTGGTAGAGCGCTTGCCTTGCATGCTTGAGGTCCTGGGTTCGATTCCTCAGCACCACATAAGCAAAAAGAAAAAAGCCGGAGGTGGCGTGTGGCTCAAGTGGTAGAGCACTAGCCTTGAGCTGAAGAGCTGAGAGACAGCTCCCAGGCCCAGATTTCAGGCCCCACAACCGGACCCCCCCAAAAAAATGTCTTTGTGGGCTGGGAAGGTGGCTCAGTGGTAGAGTGCTTGCCTAGCATGCATGAAGTCCTGGGTTCAATTCCTCAGTACTACATACACAGAAAAAGCTGGAAGTGGCACTGTGGCTCAAGTGGTAGAATGCTAGCTTGAGCACAGAGAGACCTAGGGACACAGCCCAGGCCCTGGGTTCAAGCCGCAAGACCAGCAAAAAATAAAAATAAAAAAAGTCTTTGTTGGCTGCAGATGAAGGTGAATCATACCTGTAATCCTAGCTACTCAGGAGACTGAGATCTAAGGATGACAGTTCAAAGCCAGCCCAGGCAGATAAAGTCCATGAGACTCTCCTCTCCAACTAACCAGTAAAAAGCCCGAAATGGAGCTGTGGCTTAAGTAGTAGAGTGCTAGACTTGAGCAAAAGAATTCAGGGATGTCTCAGGTCCTGAATTCAAGCTCCCAGTACCAGAACACAAAAAGTCTGTTTACTGGGCATTGGTGGCTCACGCCTATAATCCTAGCTACTCAGGAGGCTGAGATCTGAAGATCACGGTTCAAAGCCAGACCGGGCAGGAAAGTCCGTGAGACTCTTATCTCCAATAAACTACTCAGAAAACCAGAAGTGGTGCTGTGGCTCAAGTGGTAGAGCGCTAACCTTGAGCTGAAGAGCTGAGGGACAGCGCCCAGGCTCAGAGTTCAAGCCCCATGACCGACAAAAAAAAAAAGTCTGCTTTCCCGGTCCTAGCTGTCTTCAATCTCTGCTGCAGGCAGCTTCACTGAGTGCTGCTACCTAACATTTTCCTTTGTTGTGGCTTCTAGGGCTCAGTTCTAACACCAGGGATGGATCATCCCATTTCTCTCCAGCCTGCCTCCATGATGGGACCCCTTACCCAGCAACTGGGCCACCTCTCGCTCAGCAGCACAGGCACGGTAAAGCAATCTATTTCTAAACAGAAATTCCGATACAGCAGCCAGCACTGGTGGCTCATACCTATAATCCTAGCTACTCAGGAGGCTGAGATCTAAGGATTGCATTTCAAAGCCAGCCCAGGCAGGAAAATTGGTGAGGCTTTCATCTCCAGCTAATCACCAAAAAGCCAGAAGTGGGACTATGGCTCAAGTGGTAGAATGCACCTTGAGTAAAAAAGCTAATGGAATATACCTAGGCCCTGTGTTCAAACTAGCATACAAATCAATAAATAAGCCAGGTACCAGGGCTCACACCTATAATCCTAATCACTGAGAAAGCTGAGATCTGAGTATGGTGGTTCAAAGCCAGGCTGGGCAGGAAGGTCTGTGAAACTCTTACCTTCAATTAAGGAAAAAGCTGGAAGTGGTGCTATGGCTCAAGTGGTAGAGTGCTAGCCTTGAGCTGAAGAGCTGAGCCTAGGCCCAGAGTTCTGACCCCACGACCAACAAAAAAAAAAAGAAGAAAAGAAAAACCTAGAAATGGAGCTGTGGTTCAAATGGTAGAACACTAGCTTTGAGAAACAACAACAACTTAGAGACAGCACCCAGGCCCTGAGATCAAGTCCCAAGGTGGCACAAAAAATAAACAAATGAAATAAAAATAAATTCCTATAGGGCAAGATATACTTATGTGAAATTTCTCTGCATAAATACTTAGGATGGAGTCACTTTAGTGTCATTGAAGGCACCTAGAATTAGAGATAAATTGTAAAAATAATCCATAAACCAGAATGTAGTCCAGCCAGTCCTCTTTACCTGCTTCCCAGGCACTGTGGGTCAGTTTAAGACCTGATTCATGGGGCTGGGAAGGTGGCTCAGTGGTAGAGCGCTTGC